TCACTTAGTACCTGGCAGAGTCATTTGTTTAACAAGTGTTTCTGATGTTGAATCTTCTTGGGACCATGAGCTCTGCCAGGGCTCGGGCTGTCACGTTGAGTGAGGCAGGAGGGGTCTTTGCCTCCTGGGGCTCCATCTTCATCACAGTGAGTAAGTGGGCTGAACCTTTCCAGGCTCAGAGGCCTGGCGGATGGGCTGCCAACCGGGCAGAGCCCATCCTTGGGGGGCATCTGGAAATGTCTCCAGGAAGGCACGACCCTGGACCTGAGACCCTAAGCATGAGTGAGAGAAGGGCAGAAGTGGGCACATGTTCCTGGTCAAAGGAATAGCTTGTGAAAGTCCTGTGTCTTTTAATTTTAATTTTTATCTTTCCTCTTTTCTTTCTCATCTCCAGAAAATTCAAAGATGCTCAGGTTGTAGAACACTGTGGACAGCTATTTTCATTAATTTTTAAAACATTGAAAAACACAACTGTATATTTTGCATCTATACATATCCATGTGTATCGAATGTTTTGAATGGCAGGGAAGGACACCCAGTAAGTTGGGGACAGTGGTTGCTCTGAGAAAGGAGGAAGGAATGAGGTCTGGGATGAGGACAAAGGACAAGTCATTTTTATCCTAAATGTTTTATTTATTTTTATTAAAGGAGACTAAAAATGAGTTGACAAAAATTTAACAGAAGTCAATTCTGGATGATTGGTATTTGGGTACTTGTGAACATTATTTAATGTATCTTCCTGTATTTTAAAAAATATCCTTATCAAAGAAAAAAAAATCAAGAATATAGATTAACTTTGTCAAGTGGAAGGTTTGTCTTTAAGAACAAGCTTTCCAGAGTCCTTTCAAATGGCAATCAGGAACTCTCATCAAAGTTTGCCAACAGGACTTGAGATGCAGTTTGATGCTTCTATAAAAATGAACCTTCACTGCCCATATGGAAAATGAAGAGCAGACATTGTATTATGTTGAAAAGGTTCACAGCAGCATGTCTTTCCATTTATAATATAATTTCTCTTTGGCCTTCAATCCACGATGACGTCTCTGGTTACTGTAGACCCATAGTGGTGCAGATCACCTCGGCTGTTACAGAGGAACATTTGTCAGGATTGTTGGGATCAACAGGTGTACAGAATTGCAGTGAGGTAACCCATTCTCTATTGCTGAACATATCTGTGCCTCATTTCTAGAGAAACCTCAACTCTTCATTGAAATGAGAGCAGATAAAGAACTTTGGGAATGAGTAATTCATCCTGTTGGAAGAAAGGCCTGTGGTCCTTTTCAGCACCCAACTATAAGACAGAATGAGCAGTGTTCCCTGATGTTATGATTTAGATATGAGGTGTGCCCCAAAAGTTCATGAGTGGGTCAATGCAAGAACATTAAAAAGTGAAAGGATTATAAGAGCTATCACCTAATCGGTGGGTTAATCCACTAATATGGATTAATTGGATGCTAACTGTAGATAGGTAGTGTGTCGCTGGAGGAGGTGGGTCACTGGGGGTGTGCCTTTGGGGTTTGGTGAGTGAAGCTCTCTCCCTCTCTTCCGGGCTGTCATGTCCTCTGCCATGTCCTTCTGCCATGATGTTCTGCCCCACCTGAGCCCAGGGCAACTAACCCAACTGACCATGGACTGAGTCTCTGAAACTGTGAGCCTCAAATAAACTTTTCCTCCTGTACATTGTTGGTCACATCGAAGCAAAAGCTGACTAAAACACCTGAGCATCATCTAAGAATGGAGAACTTACCAGTGGAACAGACCCTGCGGCCCTGTGCCTGCCCTGTAATCTTCTAAAGGCCCAGGGACAGTCCTCCACATTCTTGCCAACGTCAGCTCCTGGTTTACAGTCACTGCCTTCCACACTCTTCCTTCTGTTATTGGTTGTGATTTCAGTATCTGTGGGTGATCCTCTTGGGTCCCCCTCCCTCCGTCTCTCCTCAGCCTCCCACTTACACTGCCATTTTATCCTCACCTCCCAACAGTCTAGGTTCTTTTCTGTGCCTAACAGATTCCGCAGTCCACCTTGATGATGGTCGCTCCTTGGCTACATCCTCTAGCTTCCTGCTCTTCCCTTCTTTCCCTCTCCCCCCTCCATAGTTTAAATCCAACTCTCCACCTGCCCTGCACCTCCATCCAGGTGGCTGAATGTGGGAGGGGGACTAACAACACCTGTCCCCTCCTGGTAATGGGTCTCAGTTTCATCAGTACCTTGACTTCAGAGGGTGCTAGCTGCTCAGCTGCGGCCTTTCCTCCCCCTCTCCCTCCCCTCTCCCCTCCCCCTCCCCTTCCTCCTCCTCCCTCTCCTTCTTCCTCCCCTTCCCCCTCCTCCTCCTCTTCCTCTTCTTTTTTTTTTTTTTTTTTAATGTACCAGGGATTGAACTCAGGGGCACTTAACCACTGAGCCACATCCCAGCTTGTTTTTATTTTATTTTTGCTGCCTTTCTTTCCCATGCCTTCTCCTCTGGTCCCAAACTCCCGCAGGCTCTCTGCCATCTGCACTTGCTGCTGATGACCTTGTTTTCCTTTTCACCAAGAAAACAAAAGCAGTCAGGAAAAAAACAAGAAATAAAAAACAAAAACCATATGCTCTCACCCCCTCACCCACCACCCTGCCTGCCTGCTTCCCCGTCCAGGCCTGGGGGCCCAGCGGACCTTGCTTCTGCCCCTGCCACTCCTCCCGTCCTTAGCCTGCTCCAGGAGTCTCCCAGCGTCCTCCCCTCTGGCTTCTGAGTTCCTCTGTCCCACTGCAGGTCCCAGTGAGCCTGTCCCCACCTCTCCTTCCCCCTTCCCTCCTATCTCTGTGTTCTTCGAGACAGCAAAACCCTTTGAAAGGTTGTCCATCTTCATCATCGCAGATCCCCCCACCCCGTCCTTCTTTCAGTCCTTCTCTTGTCAGGCTTCATCCCTTCCATGCCACCTAAGCAGCGTGTGAGAATCAGCAGCCACCTCTGGTTGCTAACCCCCGGGGCACTGAGCCCTCTGGTCTTCCTGGGTGTTCACCTTCCTCCCCACTCAGCCCAGCCTCAGGCCACCCTTTCTGCCTCCTGAGCTGGGCAGGCATCTCTGCAGCGCAGGCAGCACCCCCTGGGACTCAGTCTCTGATGTGGCTCTGCCTCATCTCACAGAGCTGAGGACTCCGCAGTGTCCCCAGGCTCTACTTGTTCCTTGCCCTCTTCCCTTTCCTATCTCCATTCACTGGGGGGATTTCTCCACGCTCCCTAGCTGCGAGCTGTCCTCCGTACATCGTACATCGACACCACTACTTGTTATTCAAGTGACGAGTAAACAGATTAGTTTGGAAATTTTTTCATGGCCAGGATTTTTTTTTTTTCAGTCATGCCTAGGGAACTTTCTGATATTTAAGCTTTTAGATGTGGCATCAACTTCTGATAGATTTCTGATCGCGGGGTAGAGGTTACATGCAAAACAACAGCAACAGCAAACTAGGGACCTGCCGCAGGGAGCTCTGTGTACAAATCAGGTGCTTTTCTGCTGTCAGTTTCTAGGTGGTAGCTTTGGAGCTTCTGATATTTGCATTATTAAGATAAGCTTCTAGCTATTAAAATACATCATGGCAAAGCATTTTATTACTCAGACAGTTTGCACCATGGTGTGTGTGTGTGTTCGTGTGTATGTGTATGTGTAAGTGTGTATGAAAGAAAGAGAGAAAGCAAATAGCACTGGAAACACTTCCTCTTATTTAGAAAAAACAAATGCCTGGCACTGAACTCAGGGACATAAGGAAGCTGTGCTAATGTTAACAGTATCTCTTTACCCTTAAGTCTCAGTTACTTTAGATGAATATAAACCAATCAGTTCGGGGTGTGTGTGTGTGTGTGTGTTTAGCTGCTGCTCTTTGTCATGTCATAAGCAAGTTTCTACAGAACCAAAATCTTACACTATTCAGTGGAGACGTCATCTAGTTGAAAGGGTCAAACAAATGTGATCAAGACTTTATAACTAAGCAATGGGAAGGAAGACATTACAAAATGGTGTGACCTGGGAAGGGATGGGACTTCCATAACCTGAGAATCCTACCAAATGCTTCTGTGGCTATTTATTTTGGTATTTATTTATTTATAGCTTTTTTTTCTTAGAGAGAGAGAGAGAATTTTTAATATTTATTTTTTAGTTTTCGGTGGACACAACATCTTTGTTTGTATGTGGTGCTGAGGATCGAACCCAGCGCCCCACGAATGCCAGGCGAGCGCACTACCGCTTGAGCCACATCCCCAGCCCCTATTTATAGCCTTTTTGTAGTCTTCTTTTTCTACTTAGAGAACGAAGAAGGATGTATCACAAGAATTACGTGGGGGTCATTATAGTGAAGAAAAGCTGATGAGAAAGTGAAAGGTTATCTTTTTAGTCACTAGTGCATTGTATTTTAAGTCTGCCTCATGTGTAAAATTTTCAGCTGGAAAATAAATAAAATTTCATAAAACTCACTTGAAGAAGGGATGATTCTGTTATTACTCAGTTAATTCAATCAGTACAAATGTTGGTCCAGATTTTGAGATTATCCCTTTGTCATATTTGTAAGAAGTGATAATTCAGATGCTTCTTTGCCAAGCAGACTGTCTGGGTGCCATGGTATTCTAGAATATTTCAGTACGTGCTGGGGTCCATCGGAAGGGATATTCTTTGTAAGCAATGACTTAACAATAAGACTGATCCAGTAGTTTGCAGCTTTGTGGAAACAAATTGTTAAAAGTATAAGATTGTTCACCCTGCTAAATATTGGAACTGCCGAAAAATAAAGTACTCGTGTTTTATTAAGAATGCTGTATGCTAGAAAATTTTCCCTGGCTTACTTCAGATTTGAGAGAAGAAAAAGCATCCTCTTGGGGACTTCAGTGGGCATGCAGGGCAGGTACCCTGCCATTGTGCAGCATCGCAGCCTGCAATTATGCTGCTATCTGTCCACTCTGAGCTTGGGTATTTGCCAAGGCCTCAGACTCTTTGTTCATGACAGTTTTCCATTTGGCCCTTCTTCTCCGCAGGTTCCAGAGGGAAAAGTCGTCGTCCTTAATTTCCGATTCATAGACCTCGAGAGTGACAACCTGTGCCGCTATGACTTCGTGGACGTGTACAATGGCCATGCCAATGGCCAGCGCATTGGGCGCTTCTGCGGCACCTTCCGGCCTGGAGCCCTGGTATCCAGCGGCAACAAGATGATGGTGCAGATGATCTCCGATGCCAACACCGCTGGCAATGGCTTCATGGCCATGTTCTCTGCTGCTGAACCAAATGAAAGAGGTACGGTTTCTACCCCATGGCCATGAGTTCAGTAAGGGCAGCTCACCGTGACCACATGCTGAGTGGGTCAGGCACCATTCTTGGCACTTCATAAATGTTTATTCTTTACCTAAAGCTCAAGAGCAGCTTAAACAGATAGCTAGGGAATGCCACTAAACCATCAAGATGGCATTTTAAAAAAATCTTCTTAAAAGTCTGTATATACATTCTTGTAAAAATTCCAGTATAGAAATTCATGGAGTAAAACATGAAGCTGACCTCTCTGTTCACATACAGAGGCACAAACACACTCCTTGACCCCCACGTAGCCCCTTCTAGAAGGAGCCCTGCCAGTGGTTTCCATCTCTTTCCATGTGTTTATGTTTGTGTCCTTTTTACAACAACCTTTTAAGAATTTAGGGAGATCATCTATTCGTATTATTTTACTTAATTCTGTGTTTTGGGATATTTTCATGTCAGTACGTGTGGAACTTCCAAGGGTAAAATCCTGAAGGATACCTGTGGCAGGTAAGCTTTAATAAATTTTCAGCCTTTCACCTGAGGGCACTGCCGGGTCTGCTCTAAGTTTGGGCTGCCGTGTGACAGTACGGACTTGAGTGTCAGAGGGTCAGATCAAGGGCTGACAGCAGTCAGAACTTCGGGGAGGAGATCCTAAGAGGGCGCTGCAGGAGGTACGAAATATATTATAAAATCCACCCAAATAATTGACAGCTCAGCTCTCCCATGTAGGCGAGAACCTGTTGGCCTTGCACGGAAGTGGAAGACAAGAGCTGAACAGAGATCACTGCTGCCTTCTGCTGTTAGGAAGACAGACCTTGAGCTTGTCTCCAGCCAAGTTAAATACTTGCTGCAGCAAAAACTGCTTTTCATAGAAACAGCACAGAATCTTGATTGTAATATATCATTGATAATGTCCACCACCTAATCATGTAATGAATAGGAAAAGTGAGTGCAGATTCAGGGAAAAAAAGATCAGTCAATAAAAGGACCCAAGATGACTCAGATGTTGCCAGTAGCAAATAAGCACTTGAAAGAGCTATTATAAATGTGTTTCAGAACTTAAAGGGAAACATATGTAGAATAAATAAACAGAAACAGAAATTGTAAAAAAAAAAAAAAAAGAATAAATTGATAATTCTAGAGCTAGAAGATACAGAATCTGACACTCTATTTTACCTGATGGGCCAACAAGTACATTGGAAATGGCAGAAAAAGAGTCAGTGAGCTTAAACGGAGATATCTAAACTGAGGCACCAGGAGAAAAAAGATGGAAGAAAAAGCCTCAAAGACCATATCAAGGGTCCAAAATATCTGTTATTTTTGTCCTAGGAGAAGTGATAATACTGCAGGAAAAAGCTGAAGAAATAATGATTTCTTTGTAACTAAATTTAGCAAAGAACAACAATTTATAGAGCCAAGAAGGTCAACAAAGCCTAAATGGGATCAATGAAAATGAAGCCACATCTAGTCACATCATAATTAAATTGCAGAAATCTAAATATAAAATCTCAATCATAGAAAGCCAAAAGATATACAAAAACAACCGTACGAATGGTGGCTCTCTTTCTTCTGAGGCCCAGCCTTGCTAAATTGCCCCAGGATGGCCTTGAACTTGTAGACTTCCTGCTTTAGCCTCCTAAATCTCTGGGATTACAGGTGTGTGCTGCTGCACCTAGGCTTTCTCCTAATCAGAAACAAAGGAGTCCAGGAAGCAGTGTCACCACATTCCTGAAGGGCTGGAATAAAACTGTCAACCCAGATTCAATGGCTTGTCTTCAACAATGAAACTGAAACAGAAGCATTGGAGATAAACACTATAAATATCTGAAAGACATTTCATACTCATGTCATGAGAGATAGTGAAGAGAGTTCTCCAGGTTGGAGATATGACCCCACAGCATAACCTGAAGGTAATGGAAAGCATGAAGGTTCTTGGAAATGATTCATATAAAAGGCTGTGCATTCTTTTCTTTTCATTTCTTCATGTGTATGTGTTCAAAACAAAAAAAAATTTAATACTGTATTATGGAATATATAACATATAATGTTATATGTTTGCAACTAAAGGATGGAGAGAAAAACAGAGCTATGCTTATATACTCACACACACAGTACATGAAGAAGTACAGTATTATTCCAAGTAGATTGTTGTAAGTTAAATATGCATGTCATAATCTCTAGGATGCCCATTAAAGATGCAAGAGTTATAGCTAAAAGCCAAAAGATTAAAATAGAATACTAAAGTTATTATAATTTAAATAAATCTGAAGGAAGAACAGTTGGAATGAAAGAGGGTGAGACAAATAGGAAGTGGCATGCTTAATCCAAGCACACTGATCAGGACATTAAATATAAAGGATTAAATACTCTAGTTAGAAGACAGCCAATTGTTAAAATGGATTCAAAAGCAAGACCCAACTATATGTTGTCTATGAAAAAGACTTAAAATACAAAACCCAAATAGATTGAAAATAAAGGGATGAAAAAATATTATGCATGCTTCATTAAAATTAAAATTAGGCTGGTTGCAGTGGCACATGCCTGTAATCCCAGTGGCTTGGGAGGCGAGTGAGGCAGGAGGATCACTAGTTCAAAGCCAACCTCGAAATTTATCAAGGCACTAAGCAACTCAGTGAGACCCTGTCTGTAATAAAATACAAAATAGAGCTAGAGATGGTCAAGGGCCCCCCAATTAAACATAATCTTACAGAAAGACAGTGACAAATGTGAATAGACATTCTACAGAATAATACAAAGAACTCATACAACTCAATAATAAAAAGGATAAAGATCTCAAATATAAAAGTGGGTAAAACACTTGGACATACATTTCACAAAGGGAAATAGAAATGGCCCATAAGTACCTGAAAAATTACTTTATATCATTAGTCATCAGGAAAATGCAAATTAAAGAGATACTATCACCTACCTGTCCTGTGGGTGAAACAATCAGAGTGTTTCACCTGAAGAGGTGTAAAGTGATATAGACCCCTGGGGGAAGGTTTGGTCGTTTTTTATGAAGCTAAACATCTATATTTATTCCTGGCCCAGCAGCTGCATTGCTAGGTATTTATGCAAGACAAATGAAAATACATGTCCACAAAAATAATCTTAGTGGCCTCATTTATAGTAGCCTAACTGGAAGTAACCCAAATGAGCATCAACAGAAAAATGGGTGAACAAATTGTCGTGTTTCTATTACAATGGAGTACACTCAAGAATGTAAAGGAACCACTAATGTAGCAGCGGGCAGTGAATTATGATAAGCAGGAGAAGGCCGGCTGGAAGAGCGCACCCTACCTGACTCCATGTAAATGGGGCTCCGATAAAATTAAGGTAAAAATTTTCAGTGAAGTGTTGTGAGGGATTGACAGGTTGGGAGGGGATTCCAAACTTTTGTGAGAAATGAATTCTATATTATCGTAGGAGTGTGGCTTACAAAAATACATCTATTTTCCAAACACGTATAACTAAGAGTCCTACATTTTAAAGTATGTGAATTCACCTCCCCAGACGTGTGAAGTGACAGTAATAAAGCCGAGGAAGCAGGTGGTGGGGATTGGGTACCAATATAGATGGAACAGTGGAACAATGACAATTGTTGAATTTAGGTGACGGATATGTGGGAGGTCATTACATTAAATATTCATTTTGTATATGCTTAAAATTTTCCAGTAATTAAAAGCCTTAGGAATCATTCCAAACTGAATTTTATAATATATTTTCTTAAATTTAGATATTTGTTTTAAGAATGCGTATCTGTGTTGTGTCAGGTTGGAGACAGAGCTCGCTGGTAGAGCATGTGCCAAAACATGTGCAAGGCCCTAGGTTTAATCCTCAATCCCACCAAGAAAAAAAAAAAGAATGATTATCTGTGTCAAAAAAAAATTTATTAAAGTATGTAAATTCTTTTAGATTCAATTCAGTTTTTAATGTGCTAATTAAATTCAAGTGAAATTAAATTTAAATTTTGTATTGAAATTACTTTCTAAAATTGTTTCTGCCAACCTATTTGTACATGTGCATTACATATATCAGATGTTTGAAATAATGATTGTCAGTACTAATTGTGGTTAGTTCAGGTGGTGGGATTTGGGGTAATGTTTTACTTTCTCTGCATTGCTGCGAGTTTATATTTTTATTTTTTTATTTTACAAATAAAAACTATTCTTAAAGATTATTAAAGATATATATGTATACACACATACAGCACATATAGTTTTCTAGTAATGATAGTTGTGTATATCAACTAATTAAAATTTTGTCCATGGGTATTTAATAAATAACCAATACCTTGAAGGTTCTTAGAATTCAGGAGAGTTTTTGAGCTAGAAGCTTTCTTTCTTTCTTTTTAATATTTTTAATTGTATATGGACAAAATACCTTTATTTTATTTATTTATTTTTATGTGGTGCTGAGGATCAAATCCATTGCCTCACGTGTGCTAGGCAAGTGCTCTACCACTGAGCCCCAGCTCCAGCCCAGAAGCTAGAAGCTTTCTGAATGAGTACACATGCCCAAATGTTTTCTCTTCATTCATCCAAAAAATTGAAAAAAAGAAAAGAAGCAAATGCTTTCATCCCTTCCCCGTCTCGTGCTGATCTGTGAGGTCACAAATCATTAACCCCATGTGTCTGTGTGTGCAGCAGATCATCTCTGTAACCTTTTTCTTCAAGAGAAAGTTGTAGAGCTTCTGCCATTGCCTTGGTTACTGTATTGTCACCTGATACCCCACATTCCTCATCTCCACATGGCTGTATTGCTGTAGGATATAAACTTGTGTTTTGCTTTTTTTTTTCCATATTTAATAACTTCAGGAGACCAATACTGTGGAGGACGGCTTGAAAGACCTTCTGGCTCTTTTAAAACCCCTAACTGGCCAGACCGGGATTACCCTGCAGGAGTCACCTGTGTGTGGCACATCATAGCCCCAAAGAACCAGGTGAGGCTCCCTGGTAAAGAAAGTGTGCATTTGTGAGCTGCCCAGGTAGTGTGAGGGGCCCACCCAAGAGCCTCTGGTTTGGAGCTAAGGATATGGGGAGAGAAAAGTTCTGTTGGACTCGTACTTCTTCCTGTGGAGAGGGAGGTTGAAATTCTCCTTTGTACTATTTCACTTGCAAAGTCATGGTTTTGATTTCTGTAGTTATGATTTTCAAAACAGTTTTCAAAATGCAAATACTGGACCATCCCCACTTGAGGTTGTTTAAACCTGCAGCAGATGTTCTGAGCGTGATGGTGTGAGCAGCAGGGGCCAGCAAGAAGGAGAAAACCCCAGAACATGTGCTCTCGGGGCTCTGGTCACTCACACGGCAAACCCTGCTGATGGCCCTCCTACTAAGCAAGCCAGACGGTCTGGTCCATGAGCTTCACAGAAAGCCAGGCATCTCATCTCTTCACAGAACCATATGCCACCGTGAAGGCTGGTCTCTTTAAGCTGTTTTGGGTGTTATTTAAAATAAAATGTGTGCAAGTTCCACACAAAAATTGTATTGCTTTAAAACAATCAATAGAGAAGGTGTGGTTTTCCAGTAGTTACTAGTTCATGGTAATGTGATTTTTTGCCCTTTTTGGGAACCACTTTCAGATATTAATTGTAGAGTAGAAACTGGCGCAGGAGTAGATGAAAATTTGTTTGTAAAATTTTAAAACTAACTTGGTAAAGATTATTATTATTATAAACACTATCATAGGACTGGGTGGTAGAGCTGGTAGTATAGTAGCTCAGTGGTAGAGTGCTTGCCTAGCATGTGCGAGGCACTGGATTCTTAGCACCATATATAAATAAATGAATAAAATAAAGGTCCATCAAAAACTTAAAAAAAAAATCAAACACTATTATAGCCTCTAATCCAGGCACAATGAGCTCAGCATTGTGATTTTTTAAAAAAACAAACAACTTTTCTAAACTGATCTTTCATGTAACTTGTATACATATTATTTGCCATATATTTATTTTTAAAATGGACAACTATTCAGGCCAGTATACCATTGCAAGTCATTGATTTGAGCACACACACACACACAACACACACACACACACAAATACACACATAAACACACACATACACATTTTAATCATAATCCCCAAACTCAGTTTTATTTTTTAGAAGAAAAACACAGTCATTTATTTGATAATGGAAGAGTCTCAAAGTCCATCTGAAACATTTTACAGTTTAAAATAACATTTAAAATTACATTTCTGAATCATTTAAACCATTTTGTAATTCTTGAAATTACATTGGTCATTCTTTTCTCTGTGACATTTATAAATCTGACCAAATATTTCAACTTAATTAACTTGAAGATTACAATTCAGCATCTCTCTTCCGTGATGATTTAACCTCTGAGTTTGAGTTTTTTTAATGTGACTTTTGGCTTCAGCCGGTAAGATTTCCATCATCATTGTAGCATTTGAAACCACTGGCAGCTCTGTTCAAAAGACAAAAATGTAGTGGGAAAATTAAATCCTAAATGATTTCTATGCAAGTCTGTGGCATTCTTCTACTGCAAAAAAATTCTGCCTCCACCTTTCCTCATGGCTTTCTCCCTTATGTTCTTATTTATTTACTCATTTTAAATCTTCTGTCCATAAGTTTTTATGTGACTAATTTCTAAGTAAAGAAAATTGAGCTAATTTTTAAATAGAAAGCATAGTTGCTGGTGAGAAATCACTTGACCCCTAAGAAATATCACAATACAATTAAAATAAACCATGGATGCTGATTTCTTTATAGGTAGGTAAATTTGCAGGTGCATGGCAGTTATGTTCCAAGCCAAAATTTACTTTTGTGCTGATTTGTGATGTTGTTATCATCTTCACCCAGATGATAAAAAAAAAAAGACGAGTCTGCTTTACCAAACAGGACTTAATGCCCATTAATAGGAATTAATTTCCACTGTCTTCCCAGAGGTTGATGGACAGGGTTGCTACCTACCTGCTGCTCAGTAAAAGTGGACACTGCTGTCTGAGGTCCATAGTGTCAGTGAATTCCATGAGATTTCCTGGGATTCACACGTTAGAGGTGCTCTTAAAGAATCTGCTTTTCAGGGGAATGATGATTACCCATTAAATGGAAATTTCCCATCCACTTGAATAATTTAACACTATTCTTGGTGCTAGATCAAAATAACCAAGAAACACTTTAGAATCCTAATGACTCTGTGCATTGATGCTTTTATGCAGCCTCTTCAAAAACCTCTCACATCCTAGGTAGGCTGCGCTCGGCACACTCACCTTTCCAGAAAGACATTCGGCTTCCCTGAGTCTCTGATCCTAAACATTTGACTCCTTTACATGTGAAAGAACATGCGTCTGTCTCCTTCCCTCAAAAGAACAGCTCTATCTGCTCATGCCCCCGCCAACAGACACACCCTACCATGCTCTGATGCAGGTGACATATACCAGATGATACTTCTGATTTTTGTTGGTTTTCTTTCAGAGAAGAATGAATTCATTTAGAATATAGTCCCCTTTCCCACTCTGACACACACCCAATTATCCAGTCTTTATTTTTCTCAGTTTTCTCTCCCCACCCCCAGATTTATTGAGGTATAGTTGATGAATAGAAGATGTGTATATTTACTGTATAAAGCATGATGTTTTGATAAATGTGTGAAATGTTTACCACATGAGGCTAATTAACATACCTATCATCTCACATAGTTATCCTTGCGGGCGTGCGCAGGTCTTTGTGGGTATGTGGTGAGAACATTTAAGATCCACTCTTGAAAATTTCAGATATACCACACCTTATTAACTGTAGTTATTGTGCTATAGAATACATCTCCAGAAGCCAACTGTAGCTTTGTGTCGTCGGAGTTAACGTGGCAGACTTCTGTAAGCTATAGGTGAACAGAGCTCCTGAGACCAAGGTTGATCAGGATTTGAGATTATCATTTATTATGATTAACAATGAAAGCAAAAAAAAATGCCATACTTTTGTTGACTCAATAACAAACATTGGGACAAGAATTATCATTATTTAAAAAAAATTTTTTAGTTGTCGATGGACCTTTATTTTATTTGTTTATATGTGGTGCCGAGAATCAAACCCAGTGCCTCACACATGCTGAGCAACTGCTCTACCATTGAGCTAAAACCAACCCCATCCTGATACAAGAATTATTGAAACAGAATCAATGCTTTTTTTTTTTTTAAACAAAGAAAAATCATGGTATTCTACCGATCTGGGAAATGGAAAAGGAAAAATTTCACTTAAGATTATTCAACAGTGCTATTTTTGATACTCCTAATGTTGTGCTTTCTCTAAAGCTTATAGAATTAAAGTTTGAAAAGTTTGATGTGGAGCGAGATAACTACTGCCGATATGATTATGTGGCTGTGTTTAATGGTGGAGAAGTCAATGATGCCAAAAGGATTGGAAAGTATTGTGGCGACAGTCCCCCTGCGTAAGTGGCCCCCATTTGTGTCATTACTATTTTAATAACTCTGAGTTTGTTTTTGTTTTGTTTTGTTTTTTGGTACTGGAGATTGAACCCAGGGTTGCTGAACCACCGAGGCACATTCCCAGCCCTTTTTTTTATATTTTGTTAGAGACAGAGTCTTGCTGAGTTGCTAAGAGCCTCACTAAATTGCTGAGACTGGCTTTGAACTTGCAATCCTCCTGCCTCAGTCTCCTGAGCCACTGGGATTACAGGTGTGCACCAGTGCACCTGGCCTGAAGTTGTATTTTTAAATAAATTTCCTAATCACATTTATTTTCTGGAAGATTTTATGCTGCTTTTTCTTGGGTTTCATAATTCTTGGAGTCCCATCTGGCACCACTAAGAGGAAATAACCACCCCAGGCCTGAGGCCACAGCAGGGAGAGCAGGTGAGGCCGAGATGGTCACGTTAATGATGCACCAGAGTCAGATGCTGAGCCAGACACCTGGGGGTATCAGTGCCCTGCAAAGGTGAGCTCAGGCATCAGGGTGGAATGGGAAATCCTGAGAAGCAAACAATGGCTAAGTATTGGGGATCCAGGCAAGAAGACTTGGAAGTTGATGACAAAAATGGGTGATTGTAGTTGATCAGGATCTGTCCTGGACAGTTTGAGGCCTCATACCTGCTCCTCATGTTGTAGCCCAAATAGACAAGCTCCGTCCAATGGACAAATGGAGAAGACTGCAACCAACAGTTAGAGAAAATATATTCTTTTCAAGCAAAAATGGACACTGGAGAAAAGAGAAACCATAACTACCAAATAATTAAAGATAGTTGATGAGCAGTTAGGTTTTCCTACTCAATCGGTAAAAACCAAGCTCAGATGACTTTTATCCATGAGTTCTAACACACATTTGAGAAACAGAAATTTTCAACACCACACAGATTCTTCTAGAGAAAAATAAGCATTGTTCTACAATTAATTCTATAAATTTAGTATAAACTTGACATCAAAGGGTAGGGATAGTATAAGAAAAGAATATTAGAGACCAGTCTCATTTATGAATATGATGAAAAATGAATTCTAAAAGAAAAATATTAGCAAGGTAAACACAGCAATGTATGAGAAAATACCCTATGACTAGGAATTCAAGGTTGGTTTGAATCTAGAAAATCTTTTAAATTTATTTATGCATTACCAAATTAAAGTGTGACTTGTGGATTTAATTTTTATTTGTTGGAAACATTTTACTGAAAATACCTTTTCTTAATAGCTTGAATAAAAAATTTTGTATTTTAAAAAATACTTTAAAAGTAACAAAAATATTAAGAACCCAAGAATAAACATTAAAAAAAAAAACCTTGCAAAGGCCTTAATAGAGAAAATTACAAATCTTTACTAAGAGATATTTTCAAAGACCGAAATAAATGGAAGTATATACAGTGCTCATGAATAGAAAAACTCTATCATTTACAACATAAAACTGGCAGTCTGATTCTAAAACTGACCAAGTGGCAAGGATGACGCAGTACACAGCATCAAGGGTGTAGGTGGACAAAATTAAGTTCTGAAGGAGAAAAGCCCGTCAAGAGGACTTGCTACAGGCATATCAGAAAGCTGTTGTAATTAAGACAGTGCAACTTGATCGAGACCCCCCGCCCCTGCTGAAAAATAGAAGGAGCCAGGCGGGTATGCCTGAAATCCCAGTGGCTTAGGAGGCCGCTGAGGCAGGAGGATTGTGAGTTCAAAGCAAGCCTCAGCAACTTAATGAGGCCCGAAGCAACTCAGGGACAGCCTGTTCTAAATAAAATATGTATAAATAAAAGGGGCAGGGATGTGACTCAATGTTTAAGAATCCCTGAGTTCAATCCCAGGTACCAAAAAAAGAAAAATAGGGTAGAAATAATTTATTCATGTGAAACGTGAAATGAAATTATACTCATATCTATAAAACATAAAAATCAACAACGGGTGAATCGAGAATGTAAAAAAGAAACAAATGAGAATTTCAGTTCATCAAAATACACCATAAAGGGGAAGAAGAGAAGGCACAAATGTACTCAAATTATTTTTTAGTTATTGATGGGACTTTTTATTTTATTTGTTTATATGTGGTGCTGAGAATCGAACCCAGTGCCTCACCCATGCTAGGCAAGCACTCTACCACTGAGCCACAACCCCAGCCCTGGACTCAAATTTTTGGAACACGCATTTGACAGAGTCCTGGGTTCCAGAACATACCAAAATAATTTTTAAAATAAGGAAAACATAACTCAACAGAAAAAGTGGGCAAAAGATATTTGAAAATGTATTCCCAAGAGAAGAAAGCTGCACAGTGAATAAACCTTTGAAGAGTGTAAATTGGCATAATCTCTTTGAAAATCAGCTTGGCATTATGTGATGAAGTTGGAATTCATCAGATAACCATGTATCTGTGACCTAGCATATGGCAGATACCTGCCTTCCTGGTGTACTAGTTACAGAGAGTTTGCCTGTGTGCACCACGAGACATATACAAGGATGTTCTCAGCAATGTTGTTTATAATGTTCCTGGGTGGGGACCGACAGTCCAGTGTTATCAAGAGAAGGTTTAAACTGTGTTCTAGGACACAGCATCAAAAGCAGTGCAAAAACCTCACAGTGACAATGATGAGCTTGGAAAAAAGCCCAGAAAAATAAAACACCACACTCCTTCTTTTATATGAAGTGTTAAAACATGCAGATCTATACAATATACTGTTTAGTGATGCATATGTATGTGATGAACAGAGGGAAAGAAGGTAGGAATAAACACGAAATTCAGGTGACTGGCTCTTCCTCGAGGGTGCATGGGGAGGCCAGGGGGACCGTCACTGAGCCTCATTCATTCCTGAGGATTGTGACTGGCACAGCCTACCAACTAGCCCTCTGTTCAGAAGACTATTTTCCCATAGTCAGAATACTTCTAGGTAGGACAGAAAATGAGAAAACTTGTTTCTGGAGCTTTTCTCACGTTAAAAATATGACTAGGAGGAGCACTGGCTGGATGGGCGTCACCTTACCGTACTTAGGTCTGGCTCAGCGCACTGTGGGTGCCATTGAATTAATTCAAAAACATTTATATATATTATACCCTTGCTGTGTGCTGGGTGCCATGTTAGGTACCAGAATACAGAGATAAGGAACAGGAAGGAACAAAAACAAAGCAGATAAGTAAATTGGCAAGGGAATGTCCTGGATGGGGTCTTTGGCCCAATCTGGGCATGTGACCAGAGGAAGCTTTTTGGAGGAGATAGTGCCTCTTGAAGGAAGAAGGCATTGCGCTTAATCAGAGGCAGAGGGGAGGACAGCCTCACTCCAAGCAGAAGGAACTCCGTCAAGAAAGATATGCAGGGGAGATAGATGCTATTTCTGGAAACTAAACCTTGAGTTGGGGCTTGAGGACGAGGCAGAGGGGTGCATTGTTCCTTGTTCTGCAGAGGTGGGAGACCTCCGAGTGCATTTAGACAGGGTTGACATGCCCAGGAGCTCTAGACTCCCATCCTAGACAAGATGAGAGGAGAGGCTCGTTCGGAGGTTGTTGCTAGGGTCCAGGTGAAGCTGAGGAGGTAGAGATGAAGGGGAGGGATGAATCAAGAAATATTTAGGAGGTAAAGTTAGCAGGATGTGGTGATTGGCTGGCTGTAGTGATTGAAGGAGGGAAAGACTGGAATGACAAGCTGGAGACAGCTGACACAGCTGGCTGTATGCCACATGAGACAGGGGAAGAGCTCTTCGAGATCTCACCTTGCCTTCCTAGCTGTCTGCAACACAAATTAGCAGATGCAACACTTGGCCCTGGGTATATATTATGGCACTGTGATTCTGTCACATTTAGACAAAGCTCAGTGGAAAAAAGCTGTCTTTGTTACTGAAAGACTCCTCCTTGAGAAAATTCAATTTCCAATACAATGCCTCCAAGAATATCACAGAAACGCAGTGGATGATGACTGTGATTAAAGCATCACGAGGAGAAGGCAGACCTGAGTGGGTCTCGAGACTTCCTTTGCTGCTCATAATAAGTGCTTTTTGTAATCCTTTAAACATGATTAACCTGTTCTTAACTTGTAATTGTATGTAGGTGAGAATTGTGTTTAGTGCATCATTTTTTATTTACTTAATGGAATGTGCTTTTCAAAAGCAGGTTAGCATATTTCTGTTGAAGGCTTGAATCCCAGAAGCATTATTTAAATTACTTTCGTCACTTTGGGGACTAGAAATATAAATGTAGGCCATGAAATTCAGTTTTATGTTTGTCCCATCCCTTGGCTCAGGTTATTATTCAAGATGGAAAATATTCTGCAGTTTTTCTAACTGGTTGGTTCAAGTTCAGATCTACCCACTCAGAGCAGCTGGGCAGGGAGGGTGGTGTGGGAAGAATTGTTTCATTATGTTTTGCCTTAGAAGTGACTTGACTGGTGGCACCTCCAAAAAGAACTTGAGTCAGATCCCTGACTAATTCAATTCAATAACTTGTCCAATCTTTGTCTGCTTCTGGATTCGTTTTTACATAGAAGCAACCGAACAGCATTTTCATTCTTATTTAAAAGAACAATAGCAAACCTTAAATGAAACCACTGTCTTGTATAATATAACGATCCCCTAAGATTTCAGAGAGTTTTTGGACTTCAGTTATCGTCTGTACCAGATCTTTAGTACCCACTCGCCAGCAAGCTCCTCCAATTAGAGTTCTGAGTGGTGTGGTTGGTGACTGCCAAAAGAGAGCGATCACTTTCTCTTTTTCCTTAAGAGCATTTCCTAATGGGCAATATAAATAGCAATCTCTCCATTGTGGGCATGCATTAGAACGCCCATTAAAAATGAGACGGAAGTGCCTTTAAACCCTGCATGACTTTCTTTTTTTTTTTTTTATCCCAGGGTGAGCAGCCCACTGAGATAATCCCTCTGGCTTATAGGGAGTGGGAATTTGTTCATCAGATTTGTCCATCGGATTCTCTGTGGCCAGCATCTGGTTCCCCAAGCTGGCTTGAACCCACAGTGTTCATTCAAAAAACTGCCCTCTTCCCGAGTAGGCAAACCCTGAGGTGGCTGTGGAAACCAAACACAGCATCTGCGTTCACCCTGGTCCCTACCCTACCACGGTCGCTGTAGATCACTGGATCCTGGGTTCACATCCCGATTCCCACATAATTGCCACCGGGCCTTGGGCCAATCACTTGAACTCTCTGAACTTCAGCTGACTATTCCATAAGAAGGGGATAATAACGGTGGTTGCGGAGATGGGTTGGGAGGCGCACGGTGTTGAGCTGAGCTAACACTGGGAGATGTTGAGCTACTGTGTTAACAGTTAGCAAATCGAGACTTGACCTTTTTAATGTCTTAGCTTTTAGGTGTAAATAAATGACCAATGTTTTTTTTTTTTTTTTTTTTTTTTTTTTTTTTTAAAGAGAGAGGGAGAGAGAGAGAGAGGGGGAGAGAGAGAGAGAATTTTTTAATATTTATTTTTTCAGTTCTTGGCTGACACAACATCTTTGTTTGTACGTGGTGCTGAGGATCGAACCCGGGCCGCACGCATGCCAGGCGAGCGCGCTACCGCTTGAGCCACATCCCCAGCCCGACCAATGTATTTTTAAAAATCAATGGACAGCTAGAAAATTTTACAGTTTTAGAGAGGTACCACTTAAACCTTAACATATATATGTAAACATGTTTTCTTCTTTTAGACCAATTGTATCTGAGAAAAATGAACTTCTTATTCAGTTTTTATCAGACTTAAGTTTAACTGCAGATGGATTTATTGGTCACTACAAATTCAGGCCCAAAAAATTACCCACAACGACAGCAGTACCTGTTACCACCACGTTCCCTGTAACTGTAGGTAAGTTTTTCTGTTTGGAAGTTTTGTGCAAAAACCTTAGGAGTATGAAAATAATTTTTTTTGAAGTAGAAAAAAAATAAGAAAAAGATACCAGAAACTAAAATACTTAACTAAAGTGAAAACTTGTGTAAGAAAATAGCACAACACTATTAATGAAAGAGGGATAGGGTAACAATGCTTACAAACTAATAGCTTTAAAACCTCATCTAAGAAAATGATGAACACTTAATAGTTACTAAGGAAGCCTATTGTATGCCCAACTTCCCTTTTTTGGCACTTACAAAAGTGTGGTTTTTCTTTCTTTTTTTATTCAAAACATTTTAACACGTAATTATGCATATTTGTGCAGTACAGTGTGATATTTGCTATGTGTATATAATGTGCAATGGTCAGTCAGGGTGATCAGCACTTCTAGCTCCTTAAACAAATATCATTTCATTGTGTTGGAAAACTTTAAATGCCTCTCTTCTAGTTCCTTATAAAATACATAATAAATTGTTGTGAACTATAATCACCCTACTGTGCTGTAGGATGCTAGAACTTATTCCCATCTCACTGTAATTTGTATCCCTAGCTGACCTTCTTTTCTATCCCCCCTCTCTCCTATCCTTCTGTGTGTGTGTGTATGTATGTATATATATATATATAAAAATTGTGGTATGTTAGGTTAAAGTTCTTTCTGTTCCTGCCAGTTTTCACATCTGCAAATTTTTAAAAACATTTTTATAGTAGATGGACACAATACCTTTATTTTAATTTTATGTGGTGCTGAGGATCAAACCCAGTGCCTCATGCTCTACCAATTGAGCTATAGCCCCAGCCCAATGTCTGCAAATTTTGATTGGGGATTTTTTGCTTCTAAGCAAAATGTCATATAAGATACATTACTTTTTTTTTCAAATTGAAGTAAATCAAACAAAAATATTTAAAATATTTCAGAAGTTGGTTGGGAAAACTGGTCTGGGGCATGGTGTAAGGACTAGAGAGGCAGGAGTAGGTCTCTATATCCTATCTGTTCCATCCACTGGGATCTCAGGATTCAGATTAAAAATAGTTAAGTCCAGGGCAGAGGAAAAAGGGGGGAAGCCTTAAGATATGAAATAGGCTGGAATAAGCCAGCTTTGTTGCCGGCCATATTGTGCACTCACCCTGGATAGGGCTGACCTGAGCACAGGCTGGCACTTCCAGGTCTGGTTTTTCTGGGCACTCTTCAAGAGGGCCACCTTGTGGCCTGAATGTGCACTGCCTCGTGTCACTATAGTTCTAGCTCATCTCAGCAGGCCTGGTGTTCTTACTCTGTCCATTGTTAACTGTCTGGTCACACCCCAGGTGCTGGTGGTTCTCTGGCTTTTATCTCAATCCTAAACTTTCTCTGAAATTTCAAACATGGATTTATAATTATCTCCTAGACATTTTGAGACTGCTGGCCATATAAATGAAAGCACATTAAATTCATTTTTATCAGTGTTTTCTGCCTCAAAAATACTTCTCCACCTGTTTCCCCAAACATATGCACATCTCCAGTAGCCACATTGTCTTCCTTTATCTTACTTTCTGATGGTGACCCTGCCCACCCACAGGCCATGTCATTGTGCCATTAAATTTACTTTCCCCAGCGGCGCTATCCTATATGGCAGCCGTGACTGAGCACTTGAAATGTGGCTAGTGATAGTAGAAACTAAAGTTTGCATTTGATTTTAATTAATTGAAACTTGAAAGCCTCTTGAGGCTAATGACAACCATACTGGGCAGCCCAGGAGCCCAAACATTTTTGGTGACGTATAAGACCCTTCACTCTTTGCTCCTCTTTAGAGCTTCGTTTTCAGGCCCTGTCACCTCTCTCTGTATGCTCTGAGTGTTTTGGTTTTAATCCAAGTGTGAGGGAAAGCTGTGGGTAGGTTTAAGCCAAGTTTAAGATTAGATTTGCATGTTATGAAGATCACTCTGGCCACTGTGAGGTGAATGGATTGTAGGAATTAAAAAAATGAGTAGGCCGGGCACGCTGGCGCACACCTGTAATCCCAGCAGTTCCATACGCTGAGGCAGGAGGATTGCGAGTTCAAAGCCAGCCTCAGCAACAGCGAGGTGCTAAGCAACTCACGGAGACCCTGTCTCTAAATGAAATACAAAAAAGGGCTGGGGATGGGGCTCAATGGTTGAGAGCCCCTGAGTTCAATCCCCAGTAACCCCCCTTCCACCAAGGGTAAAAAAAAAAAAAAAGGATGAGCAGGTTCTGGTTGTCCAGATGAACTGTGCTATGACAAAAACAAATAGTCAAGAGATGAATGGGAGACAGTGACAGGTCATGGTGGCAGGAGGTGTCAAAATGCCACCCGAGCTTCTGGTTTGTACAGCTGGGGCATAATGCTATTATTCATTGAGGCAGAGAATGGGGTTTGGGGGTGATAGACAAATTAATCTGTGCCCTCGTTGGGTTTGAAGTGTCCATGATACATTCAGGTGAAGATGACATGCACTTATGGACCTGTAGACGAGGAGAACTTGAAGGGGAAGAGGCTGTACTGGATAGTAGGATATGTAAATTTGAGACATTAGTAATGAATAATTTTAGCACAAGGACATGTGCATCTGGGACTGAATGAGATAGAGATGGATCGGGGGAAGGTGCTTGTTGAGGATGAGAACAGGGGACTGAGGGATCATCTGTAGGGAGGGTGGACCCACCAGAAGGGTTGTAGGAAGGGACACATGGAGAGGAAGGCTAAAAACTGGGGCCTTGTGAGAGGAGGGTGGTAGACGACAGTAAGATAAAGTGGGGAGGGGTGACAGCCTGTAACTTAAAGGCCAGAGAAACTGGGATCCACCAAAGAGTGACAAGGAGCAGCTCAGGAGACCCACCCAGCTCCCAGATGTTCTGAGGCTAAGGAGCCTGTTTCCCATGGATGTTCTCTTTCACTGGTAATGCTGATTATTAGTGGGAGTACAAATTAAGAGTGAATAAATAATAAACTCACAGAGGAGTCAGAAGAACATATTAGAAGGCCAACATTACCTTTGTAGATGTTTACCCAACAAGCACAATTCTGTTGTTTTTTGCAATTCTGTTTTCTTCATAGCATCTTGTCACACATAAAAACAATCATCAGCAGATACTTTAAAAACATTTTAAAGATGAAAATGGGGATTACATATTTGCATTTGGTCAACCCAGGGTTTCTCAACCTTGGCACTATTTACATTCTGGACCAGATAATTACTTGTGTGTGAGGTCCCATTCATTGGAGGGTGTTTAGCAGCATCCCTGACACCTACTCACTAGATGCCATTAGTACCCCTGAGTCATAACAACCAGAATGTTTCCAGATATTGACATATGACACGGGGCAAAATTACCTCCAGAGGAGAGCCACTGTATTTATCTATTTAGTTTTATTCTTAAATTTGTCTACTTCTCGGTTTTTAAAATCTTAATAGTCAATGCCAGGCTCAAAATAAATATTTAATGAGTACTCGCATCTTATTACGGATGTAACACTTTACACATGAGCAGCATTTCCAAAACCTTGTACCACTCACATTTAGGCAATTGCATTTGAAGTGCACCAAGAAAGCTCCTTCCCTTCTCAGGGGAACACCATAGGATTCCTTTTGTGAAGTGAAGGATTAAGCTGTATTTTATGAGTTCAGATGTGTTTGCCAGGTTTTTCTAAGCAGGGCACACACAGAGTGTATCTATTTTGGGTTGTAGTGTTAGATTTATATCAAGGAAGAAGAGAACAGAGCTAAATTTGGATTATCTTTGATCTCAGGTTTAAAATTCAGTACAGGGTATTGAGTTGCCCTGAGGAAATTAGAGTAGCATGAAGAATTTCTTCTGCATGGTTTATAATTATTTCATTGTAATAGTAGATTGGTGGCTCAGGGAAAGCAGTGGTAGTCTTAAAAGGGGATTCAGATATAAAACTCCAATGATACTTGAGTTCATTTTCCTGAGTCTTACGTCTTTCTTCTTTGAATTAAGGTTTAAAACCCACTGTGGCCCTGTGTCAACAGAAGTGTAAACGGACGGGGACTCTGGAGAGCAATTATTGTTCAAGCAACTTTGGTAAGAAATTAAAAACAAAAACAAAACACCTTTTCCCTTTAATCAGAAACTGGAGACTCCTTGCTTACCCTTAAAGGAATTCTCACAAACATAATGGTGAAGGCCACGGACATTGTTCATCTACCCAAGAAAATGATTTCCTGTATGCAAGTGTGTGTTGACTTGTGTTACTCATAATGTTAGATTTTACAGCTGAGAAAAATAAGCATTCAGAAAATGTGCTTTTTCTACAGAAGTGTGATAACTGGACTCTTGGTTCATTTCATTGCTATTCTCTGTATTCCGGCTGAGTATTCCTGAAAAGACCGGTGTACTTTTCTTCCTTCACATACTTTGCATGATCCAGGTTTTTTTTCACACATCTGGAATTCAAGTTAAGTGCATCAGAAACATAGCTAAGCTGACATTCATCAGCTGGCCTCTCTCAGAAGAATTTCAAGTATTTCCTCTGTAGTGCACTTCCAAAGTACTAAATTATGATGTGGAAATCTGAAGTCCATTTGGAAACTCTTATGGAACCTGAGGAGATAGTATTTAATGACTTGAAATTTCTTAAAGAGTTTTTTTTTTTTCCAATTAAAAAACGGTACCATCTGTGAAAGCTACTTAAGAGCAATAGATACTAAATTTGGTTATTTTAAAAAGCAGCTTAAACGAAACATTTAAGAAGTTTTATCAAGAAAAGAAAGTTGCTACAGCCCCAATAGATTACCCAGACTTTACTTGCCTTTGTTGGTGCCTTAAAGTGGTAACTGTCTGTAGCCCCAGTGACCTTTATGGTAAAGAAGGTATAAAGACATTGAAGAGGGGCTGGGGTCATGGCTCAGTCGTAGAATGCTCGCTTTGCATGCATGAAGCACTGGGTTTGACCCTCAGCACTGCATAAATGTAAAATAAAGATATTGTGTTCACCTAAAACTAAAAAATAAATATTAAAAAAAGGACATTGAAGCGCCTGGGGCCCTAAATCTGATTGCAGTTTGCCTACTGAAATTCAAATAACTGACATTAAAATGAAAACAAATAGCAGCAGGTGTCATTTCTATCACATCTAGGCTAGTCACCTGTAGGAGGTGGTTCAGGAAATTGTCCTCCCTGTGCCTTGGAAACCACCTGATCACACTTGGTTACAGATTGCCATTTTGCAGTGATCACTCATCACCAGGAATAAGGAAGGCATGATAAGAATCCCGGTTGTGGTGCTTGGTACATTGCATAAGCAGCAAGGAGTGCTCACTTTGTCCCCAAGGGGTCAAGCTTGACTTATGCCATTGATTGTGATCATATGGCACCATTACCAAATACTATGACCAGTGGCCCAGGTGTTCTCTGCCAGGGCTGGTAACATTCCCTGGGGCGGTTGTTAGTTGTCACAAGAGCTGGGGAGTGCTACTATTTTGTTTTGTTTTTTTTCTGGGCAGAGGACAGCTGGTAAAAATATCACTCGCTACAAGCCCTACACCTCAAGGAATTGTCCCCTTAACTCCTAAAATGCCAACTGCATCCCTCAAGAAAGACAGCATCTTTGTATGGCTCATAAGAGAGACTTTCCTCTTGAATCAAGATGGAAAAATGGAGTTCTACATAATGAAAAGCAACTGACTTTTGCTAGATTTTTGTTGTTGTTGTTTTGACTTTATTTTTTTGTTTTTCTAAAATATATTTATTTTTTAGTTGTAATTGAACACAATACTTTATTTTATTTATTTTTATGTGGTGCTGAGGATCGAACCCAGGGCCTCGCACTTGCTAGGCGAGCGCTCTACCACTGAGCCACGACCCCAGCCCCTTGTTTCATTTTTAAAGCAAGAAAAAAGTTTTTAAAGTTATCCTTCGGTTCTATACTTTGACCGTTAAATGAGATAAAAAGGGTAAATAAGAAAGAAAATATGAAAGACCCAAATAAAGACAGATTTACTGATTAGTTTGAGAACAGAGGACAGCTATGGGGAGACATGGTAGACGTCACCCACAGACACACATCCTAGTGGTTCAGACCCCAACCTCCTAGTATGGTATCCTCTAAACAGTCAGGGTCTTCTTGAGCATTCACAGGCAGAAGCCATGAGCCTGTCCTTTATTTGGAAATTGATCTACATGTTGGAAGGAATATTTTAAGGAGTCCCCATCTCATCAATAGACTGCTGTGTGGCAAGTGTTTGGGTTTCTCTCCTAGCTGCCAACACCTAACAACCAGGGTGGCATTACGTGACCCTTTTTTACTACCTGAACTTTGGTGACAAAATACACAGAATCCAGCTTGAGAGTTCATCGAGGGCCCATTCTTTCAACATTAAAATGTCACATTTCTGAAACTTAGAAGAGCGCAAAACTACTTTCAGTTCTGCTTGCTTTTGCCTTCAGTGTCATGTTTCCTTCCCCAGTATTAGCTGGCACTGTCATCACCACCGTCACTCGAGGTGGGAGTTTGCATGCCACAGTCTCAATCATCAACATCTACAAAGAGGGAAATCTGGCAATCCAGCAGGCCGGCAAGAACATGAGCGCCAAGGTCATCGTGGTCTGCAAGCAGTGCCCGCTGCTCAGAAGAGGTGAGGAGCGAGAGAAGCGTTAGGCTTCCTTCCAGGGCGCTCAGAGGCAGAGAAGGAAAGGAGAGAGCATCTCTGAGCAAGTCATGGATCTTTCCAGCCCTAGCTGGTGGAGGGAAGTAAAATCAGGGCTAATATATGCCCACATCTGGTAGAAAAGGAAGCCTATGGGGTCAGGCAGAATTGGACTATAATCCTAGTCCTTACGACTTGTGGAAGAAGAATAGGTGATAGAAATAAGGAGTGAGTTCCAGAAGCATCTGAATTTGATTCAACAAAGAACAAATATGAAGGCAGTAGTTCAGGAGAGAGAGATTTTAGACTATTGCACTTCAGGTGCCCATACTACATTAAGAGGGAAAAGTCTAGCCAGCCATAGGAAATGCAGAATTGAACTTCAGAAGAGACAAGTATATTTGGGCTAGAATTAAAGATCTGGGAATCATTTGCATAAATAGGACCATTAAATACACGGAGAGGAATGAATTTGTTGAGAGAGATTATGGAAAAGGAAAAGTTACACCAGAGGCAGAGGCATATGACTTTAAAGACTTTAAACCAACTTAAATACTAGTTCTTTAATTTATAAATAATATGTTTCACAGTTTAGAATTTTTAAAAAAATAAATAGGGGTAAAAGATAAAAAGTGAAACCTCTCCCTTTTCCCCAGAGGTACTATAAAAATTTCCTTACAGAAAGCTTTATCCATATAAAGCATGGGCCCCCATGCTTAGATGAATGACATCCTATGTACATTTTCTACTGCAACTTTTCCCCACAGAAAGTGAATGGCCTTAGTCTAGACCTGTATTAGCCAGCCACACCAATGTATAAAAAAAATAGTATAACAAATAGTACTTCCTTAAGTACTTTTTAATATCTGTTTTTTGCAAGGGACTATATCAGTGCAAGCATGTAAACCATCTACTCTCAAGAAACTTCCATAGTATCTTTGCATAACTGTGCCGAGAGCTCTTTCCTTGGAGTGGTGATAACGTCTGGTATGTACTGTGACATACCATGATTTCTGAGTCCAATCCTAGCTAAGTCCTTTCTTTAGTCTTGTCACATACTTTTACCACAGTTAAACCACCACTCAGTGCTGTGCCCCCCCCCTACAATATTCACTTCAGGTAAGCCTCATTCTGTGCTCAGATTGTTCAGAAGAGGCAGGAGGCTGGAAGCCCCGTGTTGAGTTGACATCTGCAGAAAAAACCAGCAAAGGCTCTGTAAAGAATATTTCTTGCCAGAACTGCCAGGTAATGCACAGGTAATGTGCAGATAATGCACAATAGCTTCTTTATGGTCTCCGAATGCTGCTGGAAGTCTAGCCTTGAGGTGACATCCACCTGCCCAGCCTACCAAGTTATATATTTCTCTTTTTTCTTTTTCTTTCTTTCATTCTTTTCTTTCTTTTTCTTTTTCTTTTTTTTTTTTTTTTTGTACCAGGAATTGAACTCAGGGGCACTGGACCACTGAGCCACATCCCCAGCCCCATTTTGTATTTTATTTAAAGACAGAGTCTCACTGAGTTGCATAGCATCTCACTGAGGCTGGCTTTGAACTCAAAATCCTCCTGCCTCAGCCTTATATTTCTCTTTTGATATACAGGGGACAAGAGTGGAATAAAAGAAGGAGGGAATCGGCCCCTCCTGATGACACTTTTCCATAGCACTATAAATCTTTAGAGTTCAACTGAAGCACCTCAGCTGAGCCCCCAGTCTCGACTTAACTGAGCCAAACTCATCAATGTATTAAAAAATAGGATCACAAATAATAGCACTTTTTAGTACCTATTTTTTTTGCAAGGCACTGTCTGAATGCAAGAAGCATGTGAATCATCTGTGCCCTCAAGAAGTTGACATGGCAGATTCATGTTTGACCCCAACAGAAGAGAGTGGATCACTAGTTGCCAATTGCCAGAGAAATCCAGACAAACAAATTATGGGACTATGAGAGGCCACCTGAAGAAGACCCATCATGAAACATTCGAGGCCCCTTGAGAAAGGGGAAGCTTTCATGTTAATAGTACATCATTCATAGTGGGTATCAGGGAGCTAGCCAGACCTGCAGCACCACAGGGTGGAAGATGACTGGGTCTCACTGTTTCATACAGGGTCCTTATGTTAGCAGAACTGGAAGATGTTACTGTTGAATCTATACTTTTGCTAATGAGAGTATTAAGCCAGATTTTATCCTAGAAGGAATAAAGGTGTGTCATGTACAGGAAAGAACTTTATCCAGAGGTAAGTTTTAATCTAAGGTTAGTCTAAGAACACACATAAGGAAAACTATTTATTTGTATATTTTCTTTCTTTAGGTCTAAATTACATTATTATGGGCCAAGTGGGTGAAGACGGGCGAGGCAAAATCATGCCAAACAGCTTTATCATGATGTTCAAGACCAAGAATCAGAAGCTTCTGAATGTCTTAAAAAACAAGCAGTGTTAACAGTGAACTGCATCTACTTAAACTGCACTCTGTTGTTGCCTTTGAAAGATTTGTTTTCCCTAAGTAGCAAACACACACACACACAGCCAGACATTTATTTGAGCATTCTGAAAGATTGGACTGACTCTTCACATGATGTAGGTATGAGGCCTCTGAAGCTGCTGCTGGGAGTTCAGAGCGTGCACCAGGAAGCAGAGATCTGAGAACCTGCCAACTTGGCGCGGTGACAGGAAGCTACAGGCATCAAGCATTGACAGCTTGGAGCAGTTTGTTTATGCATCTCTGTAAAAGGATATTTGAGAATTGAGTTGTGTGAGGATACAAAAGAGATTTTATAAGTGCAATATTTATAGTGATATTTCTTTTATCTTCAAGCATTTGCTGAAGTGTTACATTCTTCTCTTGCATTTTTTAAATCAAAGCTTAATAAAACATGTAAAAATGATTACACAGCAGCTGTTAAAGTTCTTATAAAAAGTGGGACACTATTAAAAATATACTCTCTTCTAGCAGTAAGAATATTATTTACATATAAGGTTGTCTTTGTATCGTTTTGTTAAAATACTTAAGCATTCCAAAAATTTCAAGGACTCAATGGACAAATAATGTCGGTAGACTATAATTTCTCTCTGCAGAAGCAGAAAATATTAGATAGAGCTAGAATGGTGTCCCTCAGAGCTAGTCCAAACTCTTTCATCCTGTTATTGAAACAGAAGCTCAGGTGAAGCTCATCACTTGCCCAGAGGGCACATCTCCTGAGAGACACTGCAATCATCTTAGAGTCTGAATTTCAGACTCAATGCCCTCACTGTCACGGGAAGAGGCCCTCCCTACCCAGCAGAAAGCCCCTTTACCCTGATTTGAAGAATTTAGGTAAAAAATTCTAGTACTTAGGCTAGTATTTGCTAGCATAAATAATTGGCCTTTGGGCTGGGGATGTGGCTCAAGCGGTAGCGCGCTCGCCTGTCATGCGTGCGGCCCGGGTTCGATCCTCAGCACCACATACAAACAAAGATGTTGTGTCCACCGAGAACTAAAAAAATAAATAAATATTAAAAAAAAAAAAAAAAAAAAAATAATTGGCCTTTTACAGAGCTTGAACTTAGAAATAAGCCTGATGCTCCTTACCTGTTCATCCCAGTTAGCTGGATCAGGCTGTACCAGCTAAGATACATTCTGCCATCGCTTTTTAAAAAAATTTTCTTAGTTGTTGATGGATGTTTATTTTATTTATTTATACGTGGTGCTGAGAATTGAACCCAGTGCCTCTCACATGCTAGCCAAGCGCTCTACCACTGAGCCACAACCCCAGCCTCTGCTATTGCTTTTTAATAAAAATCTATTTTCACTCAGCAGGGGAGAACTTTGAAGGACCTTCCATAATTCACACAGTTGCTTAAAGTGTACCTATACCTGTAGTGGGTGTGACAACCAGCCTTTCAGGAGGGTGCTGGTCAGGGTATGGAGGTGGGGACAGTCATGTCTTATCCAAGAGAGTAGAAAGAGCATTAGACATGAACAAAGACTTGGGTCACAAAGTCTCCCATGGTAGAAACAAAGTTTTAAAAATAAGGGAAATATTATTTTGGGTGAAAAACAATTCCCAGTCCTGGGGGTAATGGACATTTAAACGATAGCAAAATATAAATTAAAAAGAAGAATCCCTGTTTTGGCAGATGAGTGAGCAGAAGTAAGCAATAACTATGAACTGGCTGGCAGGGTTGGAAATCATTCCTAAGCTCTCACACTGAGATGCCCATCTATTCCCGACTCACCAGCCAAGGAAGTGGATGAACTAGAGGACCCAGCAGACTGCTGAGCTGTTGCTTTATTGGCGAGGGCCACCTTCTAGAAAGGCACCTCATCCAGCCAGGATGTAACATGAACTCCAATGGATTCCAGCCTTCCTTTTGAGAATACCTGTTAGTTTCTTTCAGAATACTTGCTAGAGGACTTTGGAGTAATTACTTAAGATTCTGTTTTCTCTTCCATCTTCACAGGATCTTTGCACTGATGTATCACAGGCAGCATGTTTAGAAGGATCTGCTTCCTGCATCACCAGTGAGACTGCCTTAGGTTTCGGAGTGGGGCTGGAGGCGTAGTAGGGTGAAAACTTAGAAAAGTCATCCAAACTTCATTCCCTTAACATCTTTGACACAGACTTAGAACTGCTTAGGGAGTCGTGACTAATAGTATGGCCCTGGTATTATTGTGTTAGCTTTTTATCTCTGTGACCAAAATACCTGACAAGAACAACTTAGAGGAGGAAAAGTTTATTTTGGCTCCCAGTTTCAGAGGTTTAGTCCATGGTCCGCTGAGTCCATTGCTCTGGGCCTGAGGTGAGGTAGAACATAAGGGCAGGAGGGCATGGTGGAGGAAAACTGCTTAGCTCATGGCAGACAGAAGACAGGGTGAGCAAGGAGCCAGGGACAAAATATGAATTCCCAAGAGCATGCCTCCGGTGACAGACCTTCTCCAGCCACACCTGTCCATGATTAGCATCCAGTACAGTAGTTCTTTTGTTAATCCATCAGACGAATTAACCTGATTATGTTATAGTTCTCATATCTAATCATTTCACCTCTGAACAATGTCTCTCACCCTTATAGCCAAACCATGACACTTGTCTTTTGATGCAATTACTCAAAACAGAGATCATCAAGCTGAATAGTGAAGCTGTTTTCTGATCCAACATCCATTCCATAATTTCTTTTATGAAATCATTTATTTTGTCTGCACTTCAATTTCCTTAGTTTTAAATTGAGGAAGTGAAACTAGATAAATTCTGGTATTTTCTTTAAGGAATTCATTTTAATTTTTTATTTGTGTGTTATAATTACACATAATAGTGGGATCCATTGTGATATATCTGTATATACACATACCAAAATTGGTCAATATAATTCCTCAAGCATCTCCCCTTTCCCTCTCATCTTTCTCCCCAGTCTTCTTCCTCTACTGGTCTCCTTTCTTGTTTTTTAATATTTATTTTTTAGTTGTAGTTGGAAATAATATATTTTATTTATTTTTATATGGTGCTGAGGATCGAACCAGGGCCTTGCGCATGCTAGGCAAGTGCTCTACCGCTGAGCCACAATCCCAGCCCCTGCCTTCTATTTTTATGAGATCCTTTTTCTCTCTAGTTTCCACATATGGGAGAAAACATATGACTTTTGACTTTCTAAATCTGGCTTATTTCACTTAACATTTATGTTCTCCAATTCCAAAAACATGGGTCATTTCACAAATTTGCATATCAACCTTGCACAGGAGCCATGCTAATCTTCTCTGTATTGTTCCAATTTTAGTATATTTATATAAATACATACATATAAAGAATGAATAGGTGAACATACTGATTTTATCACAAAACATTTCAGATTTATAAATAATACTAATGTGTTTTAAGAGGGTCTTGATAGCTCCATTTTCATCCTTTTGCATCAATTTGATTCCTAATATAAGGATCCAGCAAATTCCCCAAGTCTTTCAACATTAGTTGAAAAGCTTACCTTTTTCCCCCTTCATGTAGGGCAGTGCTACCAATGTCCAGTGAGACTTTCTGGACTACTGAAATGATGTAAACTAATGATAAAAATCTTTTTTAAAGAAACGTCTAAGTAAAAGTTAAATCAGAAAGCTCTCATGTGACTTAAGTAACATTAATTAGAAACTACTTTTGCTTGAATTCATGGGTTTATTTATGCAAGTGCAAAAAAATCTGAGATAAAATAAATTAGATTAGCAAACATTAAAATTTATTTTGCCTAAGTGTTCTAAATCCCTTATATTGAGAGAAAAGGAAAAAATATTAATTTAGAACTTTGATAACTTAAATATTCACATTAACATATTTAGGATAATCAGAAAAGATTATAAAGTATTGAATTTTAAAACTAGTAGAAGGAAAAAAAAGAAAAGCTTAATGAAAGTGAAATAAGAAAAACTGCAAGAAAACATGATGGTAGCAATACAAATGTATTAGTAATTTTAATAAAAATAGTTAAGCACAAAAGTAAAAAGTCAAAGGCAGACTAGATTGGGGGCTCGGAAAGTCCAACAATAATCTATTTGAAGGAGACTTCTAAAACAAAAACTGAGAGAAAAAGGATAGAAAAAAACTTTATGAGGAAAACATTAATACTAGAAAACAATAGATTGAAAGGCATTATTAATGACGGTTATAAAGAGACACAACAATTCTAAACCTGTATGCAGCTAATAACATCCTTTAAAACATCTGATATTATATAAATGGAAAATGTCAAGTGGAGGATTTTAACATTTCTCTCAGTAATTGACAGGTTTAAAAGAAAAACAGTAAGGATAGAGAAGTTTGGTTTGGAGCCAGAGTTATGCAAAAAGTTATGCATAAAATGACAGATTTACTTAGCAAACATAAAGAATAATACCAAAAGCACATTACACTTCAGAACATATGGAACAATTTCAAAACTTGCCCATCTGCTGTATCACGAAACAAATCCCAACAAATTTCAAAGGTCTAGTATCATGAAGATACCTTTCAACAACATCGAAGAATTAGAATCCCCCCCAAAAAGTAAACAATAATAACAGAAAACCCAAGAAAAACACTTTACTAGACATTCATAAATGTGCTTTTAATTTTTAAAATATTTTTATTAGTTATTGTTGGACCTTTATTTATTTAATTGCTTATATGTGGTGCTGAGAATCGAACTCAGTGCCTCATGCATGCTAGGCAAGCACTCTACCAATGAGCCACAACTCCACCCCATAAATGTGCTTTTACATAATTCATATGAAAAAGAAACCAAAATGTAAAAGAAATTACTAAAGACTGAACAGTAACAGAAATACTGCATTTTAAATATGTGTGGAATGCAGCTTAAAGAGCCCTTTAAATTTATCAGGAAGTTAGTAAAAGAACAACAGAATAAAATTATTTTTCTATTGTAGTGTTGGGGATTGAACCCAGGCAGGCAAACACCCTTCCACTGAGCTAAACCCAGCCTATAATGAACCTATAAACAGTAGAGAGAAATAAATATAGAGCATAGACTTGTATTATTATTCAGTGGAGTGTCTGGAAACCTTGAGTTTGCTCCTCTGCAAAATAAGAAAGATGAATTGGATCTTTCTGAGATCCCTTAGGGTCTCAACATACTTCCATGTCCTTTGTATCCCAGATTATACAGGTTAAAAAGTAGTATAGAAAAAAACTAACTAGTGGGCTGGGGATATAGCTCAGTTGGTAGAGTGCTTGCCTAGCATGCCCAAGGCCCTGGGTTCAATCTCTAACTCCAAATAAAATAAAATAAAATTAACCATTCTCTCCATTTTGAGCACTTTGGTCCCCCCTTAAGCTGGCTCATTATTTTCTGAGGCTAACTCCTCCCTTCCTGTTTATTTACTATCTCACTGTTCATCTTCTCTCGCTCACCCATCTTGGTGGTCTGTTTGTTTTTTTGTAGATGGACACAATACCTTTGTTACTTATTTATTTAGTGACTTATTTATTTTAATTGATGCTGAGGGTGAAATCCAGTGCCTCACACTCGATAGGTAAGCACTCTTATCACTGAGCCCCAGCCCCAGCCCCATCTTGGTGGTTTCTTGATCCTTGTCATAAAATTAAGTCTTTAATAAACTAGTGTTTTAGAAAAGCAGGGTCTAGACAACTTGTAAGTCCAGTTTTCCAACCAAGATGAACTTGAAAATTAATTCAAAATAGCAAAGCTTTCAGATACATTTTACCCAACCAAGTAAAATGAGTTCAGGATCTCCAGTCATTATATAACCTTGAACAAATTATTTAAAATGCCAAATTACCCATCTATTAAATTAGTAGAAGTAGATGATCTAAGTTTTCCTCCAGTCTAATTTGAGGACCATTAGTGCACACAATTTTAAGTATATTACCCCTAGAATATTTACACATATAAATAATACACACATAAATAATGCCTCAATTTCCTTTCAACCACTCTGTGCCTTCCAACATTAACATGCTACAGAAGCTGAGCATACTGGAGAGAATAAGAGAATGTTCTTTCCATGCTTAGTTTACCTTTACAGCTTTAAGAAAAGAAGAAAAAAGAAAAATCTGCAATAAAACAAATATTATAGAAAATATGGTGATTTTTTGCAATTTCCACTGAAATATTTAATGGGGAAAATGAGTTTTAAAATATGGAGCTGAATTACCTCGCAGAATTTGTTCAATTTCTGAATGAGTTTCCGAGGCAACCTGTGCATGTTTCTCAAAATTATTTTGAAATAGCATTTGAAAGTTTTAATATTTTCCAATGAGAATAATTTTGCCCAAAATTAAAGGATGGATTAAATAAAAAATTTTAATGGAAAAACAGGGAGAGAGAGATATCCAGATTCTTAGTAACCGGAAGAAGAAAATGGAGCTTACCTGTAATTTATTTGATTGGCTGGGATGGTTCTTTTTTTAAACATACATTTACCTCCCCCACAAACCTGCTGTTTTACCTCTTGCATTACTGTAATTTAATCGGCATCAGAAATATCTCTCTCTTAAAGATGGTTATTTTTAAAACATGTAACTTAGCACATAAAATATTTCCTAATTTTTGTGTGGTATATCTGAAGTGTTTATTTCAAAACGCAGGTAGGAGGAGAAGGAGGGGAAAAGACAATGTCAAGCTATCAAATGAAAGAGAAACACTTTATGGGAAATTCTTCTAAGTATATCTTCCAGAAATAGTATGTTTATGAAAGGGGCAGTAATACCTGAAAGCTAACAAATTAACTCACAAAGGAAAAATTCAGAGCAGCCATTATTCCTGACGCTATTAATATTTCCTTAGTGTAATTCTGAATAATTAGACCCAGTTGGTTTACTCCCCAGGGCCTACCACCTCAGCCTATTTGGTAGTTCATAAATATATTTTTTTGAGAAAAATAATTTAAAACAGTCTAAGGAATCAAAAAAAGCTTCCTTTATCAGTAAGATATTTTATTCATTAGTAATGAGATAAAGGACATTTCCAGTTTTATCATTTTTCTAGAAAGACCAACAATGATCAGTAGTTGGTTATGTGTGTCCCGCAACCAATTAATAATAACCTCTAGTTGCTTCTAGGAATAATGTTAATATGAATGAAATGAAATCTGAAAACATTACCATCTGATCAAACATACTGGTCTTCATTGGGGGTAGCATAGGAGGTAGAATCTCAATCTGTTCTTTTAGTTATTATCATATAATAAGATTGTTGAGAGAAACTATAAAATCTATAAAACATTGCTGAGAGAAATTAAGGAAGGCCTAAATAAATGGAGAGATGTATCATGTTCATGAACTAGAGAACAATATTGTTAAAATGTCAATTCTTCCCAAAGTGAGTAGATTCGATACAATCCAGTCAGAATACTGACAGGAATATACATACACATATATATGTATATATGTACATATGTGTAGCGATTGAGAAATTCCTTTTTTTTTTTGTTGTTAAAAATCAGAGACCCTAGATACAAAAATAATTTTTAAAATGTACTGCATGTGACCATTTATTATTGTAGTTTGCCCTTTGGTATTGCTAGTGATGGGTACTGACATATATTCAGTTTTCTTTTGGAGTAGTGATGAATTATAAGATTCCACAGTATTTTCTTATCTCCTTAATATGTTTATGTTGTAGCGCTATATTTTATATTTTCACATCAGATTTATTGCATGCAATCTTCTTTCCACCAGACCTTGGTGGCCAAGGTTTTATCTTTTCTAGTATGTACTGTTGTAGAATTACACAGTATGTAACCTTTGTAACTGGTTTCCTTCACTTACTTTTAAAATTCATGCATGTTATTACATGTCAGTAGTTTGTCCCTGTGGTGGCACTATAATGTATTAACCTACCTAGGCCTAATTATGTTTCCCAGAATTCACTTCCTTATATGCTTCTATTTAGGGTGGGCCACAAGAGACATCTTAGTGTGACATCTGCACAGCAGAGGTAAAGCAGTACCTATTCTGTTCTTTATGTGGATATTTCTGTAACTCAGACCTGTGGTACCCTCCCTGCTAGCTCACCTCACTGATGTGGGCAGCAGCCAGGCTTACCGATGTTCCATTTTTCCTTGGATCCTACTTCATCTCTACTTCCTGAACCAATTGTGTTTTAGCAACACACTTCCAAAGGCAGGGAGCAAAGGGCAACAGTTCTCTCACGGGATACCACTTCATAAGGCTAGAGACAAGAGCACTGCCATGGCGTGTCAATCCACCTTCATGGGTTCCACCTTGTCGTCACTCCCTCATTTATATCTGTCTATCCTTCCTACCTGCCAACTGCATGAACTTCCAGCTCCAGCATTAGATGCAAAAAACAGCCTCACCAAGACTGCTTATCAACTCCAAATAAACAGACCACTACACAAACATGCCTGCAAATATCCTAGAAGTTCTGCTTCTCTGACTGAGACAATTCCTTTTCACTGTTGAGCAAATTTCCATTGTGTGTACATACAATTTTTTAAAATTCATTCATAGTTGATGAACATCTAGTTGTTTTCCATTTGGGTCATGAAAAAAGCTTCTATGAACATTCACATACAGGTCCTTCTGTGGACATATGGTATTCATCAATATAAGAGGAAACAGCTAACAGAATCAAATGTGATTACCACTAGAGACGGGAAGGGGTGCAAGGAACATCTAAGGTTGATATTTTTGCATTTTAGTACTTTGTTACAATGACTTTTAAAAACCAACATCACTGAATTGTACATTCTAAAAAGATAAATCTTATGGTATGGGAATTATATATCAATTTTAGAAAGTATATAATAGAATAGACAGACTGTCAATTTGTGATTTAATGTCAAGTTTTATTCACCTTTTTTCTTATAATATACTCATTCAAAATATACCTCATAAGTAACTCATGCATGCAGTAGGCACTCTATAAATATTTTAATTTAATAATTAGATGTTTTTTAGAATGACTAAAAATCCTGATGTAAAATCCCAATTGGGAAGTGCATAATCCCATCGTAGACAAAATATAACTTTACAATAAACATTTTTATAAGAATTTGCCCCAAAGAGGGAAAACTTAAAATTTGGAAAAAAATAAAAATTAAAAAGTAAGGGAAACATAACACTGACATATTTAGACAATGATCCCTGGATCGGTGGTGCTTATAGACCAAGAGCTACCTGCACCCTGTGGCCTTAAGACCATCTGACATTCAGTTAAGCAGAGAATTATATACCTTATACCTTCTTAACTGGAAATGCTGCAAGAATATATAAACTATAGCCTATGAAAAAATTCTACCTACATCCCTCAGGTGAACACAGAAAATATAATATACATTTTATAATGTATATTATAAAATTAAATATACATTTTATTCTTAAATTTAAAAAAACAAGGCTTTTCATCTTAAGCAGCAAGAATGATCCACAAATAAGCATGAAGTCACTTTAATAGAAGCTGTGTTAAATTCTGTGGAAAATACTTTGGGAGATAAGCTCACGAATCTTAATTCAAATATAAAACAAATCCTTTCATTAAAGGGTCATCCACTGTTTTACAAAACCAAAAGGCTATGACTATACATGATAAAGATGTATCTTTATTTTATGATTATTCACTCTGGCTTGGAAAAAATTATAGCACTATCATGGTAAAGAAAAATTAAAAGCACCCAAATGACCAGGGAAGTAACTATGCAAACTTATAAATACCCTATGGCTAGAAAATAAAAATGTCTATTTTTCAAAAATGACATAATTCTATAAAAATCTGAATAGACTACACAATACATGGAAATATATATGTATATAATACTATTAAGTGAAAAAAATAAAATTAAAAATATAAAATGATTATAACCATGTAAAAGTAAATATATTACAATAACAAAAACTGAAGTGAATTTAAATTGACAGACATAAATAGATTCAAATATTCATTATGGTTTTTTCTTTGTTGCTTAAGATTATAATAAAATAAAAAAAATAGACTATTATTTTAGATAAAATTCTATTGCTAAACAATAAATACTGGACTATATTTGTGAACTAAAACAGAGGTTTTAAAAACCATAATGTTTATATTTCAAGTGTATCTTATGGTAGGAGATAAATAAGCTCACATTTGCTGACCTTTACTTTTTACAAAACCTTCTGAGCAATGTGTATATTTATACTCCTCTTACACATAAAAAGAATAACATTTTAAAGCACTGTCCAATTAAGAAAACCAAATAGCATGCTAATTAAAATCTATCTACTTAATGTGTTTTGCTCCTGCAAAAAGCCACTGACAGGTTTTAAAAAACTAATTCTATATACATATATTACATAACACATATTTATGCTATAAATATTTTAAAGGATGGCTTTTACATAATTATTTCAATATATATCTTATTAATTTAATTGCAAGTTATGTAAATACAGTCTTTCAAATTCGTTATTGAAAATTATTCTCTACAAGATTTAGAAAATGGTTAATTTCTTGGATAAAACATAGCATATTTAGAAGTCCGAAAGCCAAGCAAATCTCTTATTTCATTTCGGAATTTTGACAGATCTTGGCGCAGTTCATTTAGATTTTCCACAGTTGCCTGATCTGTACTTTGCATCTTCTGTCTCATGGAAGTCAAGTAACGATGTACTAAGCAGCACATCACTTTTTGATAGTTTTCATCTCTCTTTTGTTTCAAATTTCTCCATTCCTTCAAAACATAAAATAATACGATAACCAATGATATGCAGGAAAAAAATATATAACTATTTACAGTGATGGGGATGGAACACAGAGCCTTGTACATGTTAGGCAAGCACTCTACAACTGAAGTGTACCCCCAGTTCCAGAAACAATGTTTAAATGAGATAAATTTTTTAAAAAAGGTACACAGAGCTTTTAATGCTTAAAAGATGACAGTTTTGCCATAAAGTGGTACAAAATAATGTTCAACACTTGGTTAAAACAAATATAGACTGCATATCTGTTTTATTTACTCATCACTATGCAAACTTGGTTTTAAAAAAATGGCATCAGGAATATTAAATTTAGAGCAGAGTTTAGCGAACTATGACCCAAAGTCCAAAATGTGGCCTCATTCCTGTTTTTTATAGTATGTGACCTAAGAATTGTTTGTACAAATGAACATTTGTAATTAATTTTATGATAGGCAGCTCTCTAATCTTGAACTTTAAGTAGAATTTTATCCCTACCAAAAGGAATCACATTCTTTTTATTAGTACTCATGTATTACAAAGATTATTACTCAATTATTGTCATATTTTGGATTTCACCAATAAAGATTGATGGGAATTTTTTTCTCTCTTGTCTTATTACTACTTACATAATATCTTTAATTTTGTTTTGGCTTGCAAAATGTGAAATATTTACTCTCTAGCTTTTTACTGGAAAATTCGGCAACATCCTGGTTTATAAGAAACATGTACTATATTATTGATGTATTGAATAACTTTCAAGAAGAATCAAATAGCAACATAGAAGTTTGAGCAATTGCCAATCTCAGATGTTTCTTTTTTAAAAATATTTATTTTTTTAGGTGTAGATGGGCAGAACATAATGTCTATTTTTATGTGGTGCTGAGGATCAAACCCGGGTCCCGCCTGTGCTAGGCGAGCGCTCTGCTGCTGAGCCACAATCCTAGCCCTGTTTCTTTTTTAAAAAAATATTTTTTTAGTTTTTGACAGACCATTATTTTATTTATATGCAGTGCTTAGAATCGAACCCAGTGCCTCATACATGCCAGGCAAGTGCACTACCACTGAGCCACAGTGTCAGCCCTATCAGATGTTTCTTAAAGAATGAATATGCAAGTCAATACATGAGCTGCCTCTATTAGTCATTTTTTATCTACGGTGAAAGAATAGGTATTCTAAATTATTTTCCATATTTTCAAACTGTAAGATGAGATTTCACATGCTGGGAAAATTTGAAAACTAAAGAAATCTTGCTTCTATCTCTCACTCTCAAATATTTACTAAATCCTTCCTTCATGTTAGATACTATGCTGTGCATTAGGGATACAACAATGGATAAAACAAACTAGTCATAGGCCCTCAGGAACTCACATATTTAGGTTTTAATGCATGGATGGTGGAAGGAGAACCTCATTGTTATATGAAATACATATATGAAGATGTGAGAAAAAAAAAAGAATAGTGCTACCTTAGATTAGGTAGAGAGAAGTGATGGGAGGGGAAGGGAGGGGTTGGGGAGATAGGAAGGATAGTAGAATGAAACAGACATTATTATTACTGTGTGTATATATGTGACTGCATAACCAATGTGATTCTGTAACCTGTATACTCAGAAAAATGAGATATTGTATCCCATGTGATTCAAATGTATGATATGTCAAGGTCATTGTACTGTCATGAGTAACTAATTAAAACAAATTAAAAAAAAACTCAAAAAAAAAAAAAAAAGAAAGAAACATCCAATATTAGGGATTGCTACAACTTCTTTGCTGCAAATCAAACTTCTGATTTCTTACCTTTAAACTGTTTTGCCGTTTGACCTTGCCTTTTGATGTATGAGAGCAAATCCACTTACTGAGGCTACTAATCAGATAACAAATAGTCTTTGGAGAAGGAATGATGTTGAAAGGTGGTGGTAATGTACACTTGTCATCAAAGTAGCTAAGCCACAACTTTGCTCGAGCAAATTTCCATTCTTTGTCTTCATGATTCTATAAGAAGAAAATGAAAAGCAATATAGAGTGAGTGTGTGCATGCACATGTGCGTGCGCGCACACACACACACACATACACACACACACACAGAGGCAGGCAGGAGAGGGTGAGGGAACACATTCTTTAAAACTGTCTAAATGTTTTCACATCATGTACACAAAAAGTTGGTCTAAGGTTTGCAACTGTTATAAATTACATTTTAAATTTCTATATTTAATTTTTTAATGATACTATTTCTTAATTCTTATAATTTTTGTTTACTTTATTGCACACATTTAGTAAGATCTGAAGAGAATATAAAGTTTTAAAAGAAAGAACACTTACTGCTATCAACTGAAAGCTTTTATGAAGCATTGCTACCAGCAGTTTCGTAAGCACAATCACAACTACGACATTGTATGTACCAACAATAACGGCTCCAACAAAGGACTGCAACTCTTCTCCATAGCTAAATCTTGTGACAAAGATTGCCACATGTGCTAAGGAAAAAATATACCAGAACAAAGCAAAGCAAGTGCCAATGAACCTGTAAAGACAATTACATTTCTGTTTAAAAGGAAATTAAACAAATTGGCAAAAATGAATAACAAAAGTATACAAAACATAAATTAATAATCCTTGCATAACACTTTATAGGACTAAATGAGGTTGATTTCCATAGTACAGGTATGTCTTATTTTTTAAATTTATTTTTAGTTGTAGATGGACATAATAGCTTTATTTTATTTACTTATTTTTATGTGGTGCTGAGGATCAAACCCAGTGCCTCACAAGTGTGAGGCAAGCACTCCACCATTGAGCTATACCCCCAGTCCCAGGTATGTCTTACTTTAAACAAGGACATGGACTTAAAGGAAGATAAATGATTCCTCATTGTTTAATAATTTGCAGCCTGTCTAGTCTCCACACAGCAGCCTATTTGATACTTAAACCTTCAAATGTTGTTCACTCTCAATACTCAAATCCTAACAAGGGCCAACAAGGTCCCTCCCACCTGGTCCCTATTACTTTGAGATCTCATTACCAGCAACTCTCCCTCGGAGGCACCACATTCCATCCACACTGACCATGCCAGCCCTGTTTCCATTGCTGGGTACAGCCTTTGCTGTTCCCTCTGTCTGCGAATACTCTTCTGCCAGACAACACCATGGCATCTTTACCAACTTTAGTTCTGTACTTGATTATCATCTCTTCTGGGGTACTTTGTAGCCCCTATCAAATCTCTCTTACATGCATATATACGTATACTAGCATATAGTATGAATACTCAATGAACACATATTCATTAATCATGTTCTTTAAATAAGAGGACACTCAACGTAATGAATTGTTGTTATGTAACAGGAATACACAAATGTGGAATACTATACCTTTTCTTTATTATTTTATTTAAGAAATAAGGTAAGAGATGGGCATGGTAGTTGCACGTCTGTACTCCCAGAGGCTTGGGAGGCTGAGGCAGAAGGATCGAGAGTTCAAAGCCAGCCTCAGCAACTTAGCAAGGCCCTAGGCAACTGGGTGAGAACCTATCTCTAAAATATAAAAAAGAGGGCTGGGAATGTGGCTCAGTTGTTAAGCGACCCTCAGTTCAATCCCAGTACCAAAAGCAAAGGGGGGGGGCAAGGTATTTTGTCTACCTATTGGCTGGTTGTTTCACTCCTTATGATTCATTAGAATTGAAGAAAACCTTGTTCATAAGTTCTAATGATTCACAATTCTAACGACCTCTTAAGAAATGTTGAAAAAGTGATAAGAGTATACTTGGTTGTAACAATGACTGGTAGTTGCAACTGACATTGAATCCTTGGAGAACAGAGATGCTGACCACCTTGCACATATGGTTGACAAGGAACTGCCCCCAAATTCTAAGAGTGTACAAAATGCCAAGAGTTGCTGTGTTAGGTAGGATGCAGCACAGAAGATAGGTGTAGCAACTTGGACCTACTAATTAGATTCTCTATGTAAAATGACTACAAATGATTCACGAAAAATGAGAATGTGTTAAAGTTTATAAAAAGGAATTTCATAAAGAAAATTTTAAGCCTTATTTTTATAGCCTCTAATTCACATTGAACACAACAGAGAGAAATATATTTACTAAAAATTCCAAAAACCACTCACGAATGGAAGGTATCATTGCTTTGCTGTTCACAGAAGATGCCCACACAGTCTTTCTGTTCTTTTGGAGTATAGCCTTTATCATAGAGCTGTGTCAGTCCAATTGTGAAAGAAAACAAAACAAGAAGGAACATTCCGAGAAATTTTCCAAAATCTTGTAACATCTGTCCCATTGAAATCTGTGGAATGTATTACATAGATGTTTATTAAAATTACCAGAGAAACTAGATATTAAATATTGAATTACCCAGCAATAACAAGAAGACAAACACATGATCCCCACGCCATCTCTTTTATTTCATCTGGTTGAGATATTTCAGCAATTTGAAAACATCAAAAATCCAGCTGTCTAACAAAAAGCCATTCTAATCATGACAACACTGCAAGTGTTGGATGATACAGTCCCTGAATCTGGACCAGGTCTGCAGAGGACGCTGTTTCTATGGAGGTAGGGGTACAGGCAAGGAAAGTTTTTAAAGGCCTAATTTGCAAGGGATACAAGGAATGTGCCCTAATGAAATCCAAAAGGAAATAAGCACTTCTATTTATATGGCTTCTTAAAGTTTGCAAATATAAAATCATTAGGACACAAAGTATTTCATCTGATTTTTGCAACCAATTCTAATCCAATTCCTAAAAATCTTCCTCCCTCAGATCTGCAGTGATCTCTTTTTGCTGAAGGGATCAACTTACTTTCACTTTGGTTCCATTTTAAGAAAGCATGTATGTAAGTCAAATGGGAGTGTCTACCATTAATAATGAATATTAAATAAATATCTTTTGTAATTAACACACATATAGGGCATCTGGAAGTTTTTTCTTCTTTTAATTGTAGTTGTAGATGGACAGCATACCTTTATTTTATTTGTTTTATTTTTAAGTGGTACTAAGGATCGAACCCAGTGCCTCACACATGCTAGGCAGGCCCTCTGCCACTGAGCTACAGTCCCAGCCCCATCTGGAAGTTTTCAATCAAGCCTAATTTCATTCTCTTTCATACTCCTTCAACATCTGGGAATAAGGTACTTTCAATAAATCTTAGTGTCTAAATTGAAATTACAAATTTTGGGTAGCAATTTTGGGGTTTTTTTTTTGTTGTTTTTTGGGGTTTTTTTTTTTGGTACTGGGGATTGAACCCAGGGGCACTCAACTACTGAGCCACTCCCCAGCCCTATTTTGTATTTTATTTAGAGACAGGGTCTCACTGAGTTGCTTGGTGCCTCATTGTTGCTGAGGCTGGCTTTGAATTTGTGGTCCTCCCGCCTCAGCCTCCAGAGCTGCTGGGATTACAGGCATGCACCACTGCGCCCAGCTGATGGTAATTTTTTGACCCAGCAATTCTACCCCTAGGAAAGTAGCCAATAGGAAGTAAAAAGATGAATGCATACACAATGATTTTCAATTCAGTATTGTTAGAGGTAGCAATAACAATTGGAACATTCCAAATATTGTTTTTAAGAGAAGGAAGAACATGTGCTGGCTTAAAAAGTTACCTATAAAACACTAAATCAAAAAAATAGTTTATTAACATTTTGTAGATACATACACAAAAGTCCCACTACTATCTTTTTAAAGGACATATAAGGCTATGGTTTAATATGCACAGGAAATTTCTGGAAGTTTACCCAACACATTGTTAACAATGTTCATGAAAAGTAGGACTACGGGTATAGAAAAAAGGCAGACTCTCACTTTATATTCCTTTGAGTTTTCTTTACTATATGCTTTTGTTACTTTTAAGACAAAACCACTAGTGTTTATAACCTTTCCTAAAATTTAAGTAAATGTATTTAATAAACCAGATCTAGCTTCAAATAAAATTTCTAATTGACCCAAGCCTGTCAACATAGCACATACCCCCTTGCCAATGATACAAAATGGCTGCCACAGACAAGTGGCCAAGCATTCCAGTCTACTAAAAAGAGCAAACTAAGCAGAATTTTTAGGCTCACCACAAGCTAGTAATCCAGATTCCGCAACAGTGACTACGCCATGTGTTGCTTTTCAAAGCATGCTTCCTTCACTTGGCTCCCTTGCAAAATTCTGACAGAAGTAGGGATTGTTTAGAATTGGAATATCAGCTCAAAAGTTTTGAGAAAGAGAAGAAAAATATTTTCCTCTTAAATGTACTAATTAATGACAGCTTTATTGGGTCACCTTGAAAAAGAAAAACATTCATCCAGATTGTGAGTGCTCAGAATAAATCCATAGCATACTGATAGAGACCTTAGTAACATTTTTAAAAATATATATACATTGAAAATCTTTTTTAAAAAAAATCTTTATTTTTATGTGGTGCTGAGAATCGAACCCAGTGCCTCACACATGCCAAGTGAGTGCGCTACCACTTGAGCAACATCCCCAGCTGTGAGACCTTAGTAACTTATGCCAATAAGAATACAGTAACTGCTTTTGATAACTATAGAAAAGAGTACCCTTGAAGAAACTTTAGACACTGTAAGCTTATAGGTAAATAGGGTTTTCCAAGATCGATCCTATATGTAATTTTAATTTTTAAAACAGGAAAAAGAAGTTTCAATTTAACATAACAAAGCTTTAAAGAATAAGTGTAATCAATTTCATTATAAAGGTGAACAAGACTGAATGAGAATACCATAGATTTCATGACTTTTAAAAAGCATATTAGTTGATGGGAAAGGCAGCGGAGCACAACAGACACTAGTATGGCAATTTGTAAATCAATGGATGTGTAACTGATGTGAATCTGCAATCTGTGTATGGGGTGAAGGTGGGAGTTCATAACCCACTAGAATCAAAGTGTGGAATATGATATGTCAAGAAATTTGTAATGTTTTGAACAACCCACAATAAAAAATTAAAAAAAAAAAAAAAAAAAAAAAAAAAGCATATTAGTTCTTGTATACCAAAGTAGTACAGTGGATATCACTGAGGTGAATATTGGCTTGAAGACACTATGTGAGAAGCAAACATAAAAAAACATAAAAAACAGGAAATGTATTTTAGACTGAGAAAGATTACAAGGGTTATGCATTTATAAATGTGATAATCATGCTTTTACAACATTTCCTTATTCAAAAACTACTTGACAGTTTTGAGGAATATAAAAATTTTAAAACAAAAAGGGAAAGATAATTACAACTTCAATACTAAAATAAAAGGAGTAAATACTAGTATATATAGGAGACTGAGGAAGGAGGATCACTTGAGTTCAGGATTTCAGGGGCAGCCTGAGACCCCCATCTCAAAACAAATAAAAACAAAAATAATATTATGAAAATTAGAGCAAACTACTGAGTTAATGTAACTTTAGATAGCATCAAATGCCACTCAAGTGATGAAACCATGTATTTTTATATTGATTGTGCACCATAAGACAAACACCACATGTGAAAAGAGAAAGAAATACTGAAGTATTATAAGGATCACATCTTTTGATCTTTTAACACTATTTCTGGAGACTTATCCTTAGGAAATAATTTAATGGAGGCAAAAGACTTCATATACACAGCATTATGTAGAACTACAAAAATGAGCTAAATTCCTTGAATTATAAAGGTTGATATCATTCGGGTTCACATAAAAAATATATCATTAGTTCATTAAATTATAAAAGTAAAGGGAAGCAATAATAATGACAACTTCTAGTCATTCTCCTTCAAGTTTTTCCAGAATAAAGCCATAATTATCTAAAATTTCTATCTACTCAATCTACCCATGTTCAAAATTCTTTGTGTAAGTAATAATATTTAAAATTCCTGACACAGAGATCCTCAGAATCCAGCCCAGTCTGTCTTTTTCAGCTTCAGCTCCATAACTCCACAGGTCTACGCATGATGGACATCCTGTACATGTACACCACACCTGATGCCTCCACACTTCTACACAGTACTCTCCTCTTCTTTGCCAGGGAAGCTTCCTATCCCTTCAAGGCTAATATTGAAGGCCACCTCCTCTCCAGAGCCTTTCTGATTCCCTCCAGGTCCTTTCTCAGTCATGCTCCCAAAGGAACTCTGTTATTTCTAAAACAGTGTTTTTTACTTTATACTAACATTTTTGTGTGTGTCTCCTTCACCAGTGTTTAGGGGCAAGCACCAGATAAGCTCCAGAGCCTGGCATATTAATTAAAATGTTGAACACATAACTATCTTTCATATGCCTTTTATTTAATTCTTTATAGTTTTTCAAGAGCTATCACATATTTCTCAAGGTGAGAAACACAGAATTATCTCTACTGTTCCAAATGACAAAACTAAAGCTCAGAGAGATTGACTCAATTGCTCAGGGAAATACAACTAACAGATGGCAGAATGGATTCTTGCTTCTAACTCCTTGCAAGCACTTTTCTAAAACATTACTTTGTGGATTTATCTTAGCTCTCCTATTACAAGTTTGGGGTTGGGTACAATTGGGAAGGATTTAGTTCTCACATAATAGTTCCTGCACACCAAGAATTGTTAAATTAATATGTGAATGAATATCCAACAAAGATGTAATTGTTAGTTAATTTGGTTAATTAACACCAAGTTCTTCTAACACTGTGTACTTGCCTTAGTTCCTGATCTATAAATAGGATACAAGGGGTCGCCAAAGGTTGCATCAGACTCACCTATTTAATCAGTATCTCTAAGGGCAAGGCCTGAGAACCCAGGTTCAACACACTTCCCAGGTGGTTCTGCAACCTGCCAGTTTAAGAGCCTCTGGACTACATGAGCTCCAGCTCTGACATTTTATGCTTCTTATTTTTTTTTTTTAAAGAGAGAGAGAATTTTTTTTTAATATTTTTATTTTTTTGTTCTCGGCGGACACAACATCTTTGTTTGTATGTGGTACGGAGGATGGAACCCGGGCCGCACGCATGCCAGACCAGCACGCTACCGCTTGAGCCACATCCCCAGCCCATTTTATGCTTCTTAAAAGAATATTCACCTCCAAGTATAACCTCAAAAGCAAAGCACCTGAAATAGCTCTTAATTCATTAGAAACAGCAATTTATATTATATAAACTATTAAATTAAATCTGATAATTATCCAGTAAGTCCAAATAACTCACTAGGAATAAATATGCATACACAATATTAACCTTCCAAAATTCTTGGATTATTCTCAAGCCTTCCATAGTCATCTACTATAAAGGGAATAGAAGAATGGATCAGTCATTTATGGAAAGCCAACAATGTGTCAGGTACTCTGCTGTACA